CACATGACACCAGGAATTTAATTCTGAGCTTTTATGTGAACCTGTGTTCAGGTTACAGGACAAGAAAAAAAACTTAGAAAACTATTTCCCCCAAGGTTATAAGCTGAAAGTCATGCCAAACTTATGAGTATTTTCCACATGCTCTGCCCAGAGAGATAAAATCTACCTGTTTGAATCCCAGTGCTGGCAGGGATGGAGGCCTGTGGCACAGGGCCACAAGCCACGCCCTGGGCACACATGCTGCTACAGGGGCCCCCACCTTCCACCCATCCAATTCCCCAACAGGCTTCTGCTTTGGTCTACTGAGACCAAACCCAAGTGGCCTCAACAGTGGTAACAGCAGGCCCTGGATGGATTCTGGCATCACCAGGAACAGGTCACTTTCTGGGCATGATGCCAGTGTCCCTCTCTGGCTCCTGTCAATAGCCTTGAGTTCCACCTACCACTGTACCTGTCCAGGTATGTCCCAGTGCCCTGTGGTTGGCAGTCAGGCTGCCTCCCGGGCCCTTCCTGGTACAAGGACCCAAAGAGACTCAACAGTCCAGCAACAACATCTGCACAGAGCTCAGCCACTCGACCACTAATAGCCACCAATGAATGTCTGCACGGCAGCTTGTGCATGCTGATCTGTCATCCTCGCCAAGACTTTCACTTTGGCCTTGGTCACTACAGACACCCCCAGGGCCTTGGCCTTGTCTATACCCCACTTCCTCCCAGCAACCTGTGTTACCCACTCCTCAGACGGGGCCCCCAAGCTCCTTTCACTCCAGCTGCCACAGGGCACCAAGGACTTGCCCTGCATGGGCTCCCCAAAGTCCCCTGAGCCCACCTGACGCTGCTCACGCCCTTCACTCTTCCTGGTGTTCCTTCCTGCTCCAGCTCCAGCAACCCTTTCCAGCCACCAGTCCACTCAGGCCATGGTTCCCAAGACCATGGTTCCCTGGAACCCGATCATCCACATCTTCTGCACCACACTCTGCTGCTGCCACAAGCTAGGTGACCTATGTGCACTGCCCTGGCACCGCGTATCTCCATCGGGATGACGACAGCACCACCAGCGTCATGAGGCACACGCAGGAGAGCTGAAGGGGCCCAGGCAGGCTTGGGGAGAGTTCCCCCATACGGCATTCTGGCTATCACCAGCCCCACCTTGTCTCCAGGCATCTCTAGGCTGGCACATCCCTGTCCTGCCAGTCATGCCCCATGGCCACACGAGGAGCCAAATCAGACCTCCTCAACTCCATTCTCCCTGCCCTGAAGCCGTAGCCGGGACACAACCCAAGCCTTGCTACAGAGCAGAGCCTCTAGGGTCGGCCCTCTCCAAACTCAAGGGAACCTCTCCTGGGTCTCCCTGCCAAGCACTGGCTGCCCAGCCCACACTGGAGAGTCCCTACTCTCATTCCCTCCCTTCCTCCCTGCCCTTAAACTTAGATCTGTCTTTGACTGTGTATCTCCACCCAGCTCCAGAGGTCTGGGACTACAGCGGCTCACCAAGGTTTTGCACGTAGTAGGTACTCAATAATAAACACGCCTCTGCTTCTGGAAGTAGGACGTGACCACTCCAAGTTATCAGAGCCCTTAAACAGTTAACCACTTGCCCAAAGCGCCCAACTCTTCCGGGTGGTTCTTGTCACTGGGTGAAGCCAGTGTCCACAAGGGTGATTTATGCTTGTCAGACAGATTCTTTGCTGTGACTTTTAGGGAAATATAACACCTCACATCCAGACCATGCCTGGTACAACTGCCCGCTCATTTCCTTGTTTGTAATCTTCTATTGAAAAGTCACTGCAATATCCTGTATTTAACTAGGCAAATACTTTCTAAAACTCTATCAAGCCTAGACAGCTCTGCACCATCCACTCCCCACCGGGGCAAATAGCGAGGTCATTCCACCTCATTATTTCACTGAGTTCTAGTATTTTCCTACACGTCTGAATGATTCATCGACGACCAATCATTTTTAACCCACAAATGCTACTTTTCCCACATCCACAGGTCTGTGACACTCATTAATAAAGGAGGCCAGAACCATGCCTTCCCGCCCACAGCCATGTTCCCTAAGGCCCTGAACCTACAGGCGCTGACATGTTCCAGGTATATTAAAACGGTCAATGTCAGGCCACTGTCATGGCTCAATGGGTATAGGCACTTGCCACCAAACCTGACAAACTGAGTTTGATTCCAGGATTCTACAGCCAAGTTATCTGACTTCCACATGTATGCCATGGCACATGAGTGCCCACCCACATATACATTAAATAAATAGATATCTGTATAAAATGTCAATGTTACTAAAAGACCAACAGGCAGAAAGTACCCTGTGCTTGAGTTTCCCATGTGGTTATTTGATTTTTTTGCTTTTTGAGACAGGATCTCACTATGTAGCCCTGGCTGGTCTTGAACTCACAGACATGGGCCTGCCTCTGATTGCAGAGGGCTGGGATTAAAGGTGTGAGCCACCACATTTGGCCTCCAGCTGATATTTGAGAAAGACAAACACAGCTTTTCACAGAAACAAGCTCCCATCACAGAACTGAAATCATATTCAAACGCCCTACGTAGAAATGAGAATCTGGAAAGACCCAGTGGGCGGCACACAAACATGGCAGCTCTTTGAATTACCATACTCTGGCTAATAATATTTTTCAAAAAGTGTATTGACCTTGAGGCTCCCGCAGAACCAACATCAATCTATTCACAGTCAAAAGGAGATGCAGGATCCCAGGCCAGACAGTGTACTGGCCTCCTCTCGGCCTCTCCACAGATCTGCTGAGCCCCACCCCTAGGTGCACCTCCCTGTGTCCTGCGGGCTCTTGTCTTGACTAAGAGCTCATAGCCCTTTCCGGAAAGGCTCCCACGAGACCTAATCACTGCCCAGCCTTGCATCCAGCACCTCCAGGGCGGTAATAATGCTTCAAAGGCTTTAGGGTAGGGCTGTAAATCCTGCACAGCCAATTACTCTTCATTGAAAACAGTGCTGAGTGAGCCTGAATCAACAGCTTTCCCACACTGTTCCTTAATAAAACCTAAGAGTCCCCTCCGGGCAACTCCAGGTCTGGTTTGGCTTGAGACTAGCTTGGTTTCCTAGCAGGCTGTGCTGTTGGGGCTTGAAGGTCTTGCAGTCACAGTGAGTCTCTTAGGAGAATTAAGCAGTTGTCAAATGGTCTGAGGGCTGCGACAGCACAGCATGAATACCCATCTGACAGTGAAATAAATTCAGGAATTAGTATTCCTCACTTCCTTAGATGGGAGAGGAGAGTGGGAAGGGTGGCGTTGTTCTGTCCTGGACACAGAGGCCCTGCCCACTGGCTGTGCCACCCTGAGAAAGTTCCCTCAAACCTCCCAGCCCCAGTGTCTTCATCTGTAAACCTGTTGCCAAAGGAACCGTGAGATTTCAGACAGCCTGCTGAGAGCCAGCCCAAGCCAGAGGCCTCAAATTCTCTGAGACTGCCATGGCCAAGAAACAAATCTATTACTGTGTAGTGCGGAGCTCCTGATCCACCCACAGCTGTGGACAGACTGTACACCTAACAGAGGCACTGTGAACCAACCTCCTGTGAGTGGATTCACCCTGAGCCTGTGGTCAGTTCTCACAGGCACCCACACCGGGGACAATGCAGACACACAAATGGCCCACGCCCAGCATGGACCTGCTCCCATGACCGTATAGTGCATCCCCATACACACACAAATCTAAGCCCTACCATTCTGTCCAGTTGTTCTTATGCAAGCCAAAATGTCTGCTCTGCTTTTCCTAGCACAGATAGATGTATAGGGAAGAGGGTCCACCAGGAGCAGCCACAACCCTGGTTAACGATCTCCCCCAAAAGCATACTCTATAATCTTCCCTTCCTCGCCCATAGACAGATTGTGACCAAACCCATGCTGAGTCACCACACTGCTTCAGAACCGAGCCCCAAAGTCCTGGATGGTATCAAGAGATCACCTGAGCTGGGTGTTTTTCACACCTAGCCCCTTCTATGTAAGAATCAACAGCCCAAAGGGCAGCAAGACTGACTCAGTTTCCCCCAGGTACACAGCAATACCACATCCCTTAACTTACTGCTCCGGTGCTTCACAGCCCTGAGCCCTCCTCCCTGGCACGCAGGTCAGCTCTCTGCACCAACTGATCACATGCACACCCCATGAACAGCAGGCAGACAGGGCTCCTTGGAGAAGCACCAGGGACCCTTTCATTGTCCCCGTCCCCAGCCCAACCCTCTCTCCTCTGGGTCTCCCAGCACCACAGGTCCTGGCACACCGGGGGAAGGGGGGCGTCTGCTGCCAAGCCCATGGTGGCAGAGTTGACACTTCCTCTCCCTTCTGCCCATCCCCCATCCCCCAACCCCAGAGCAAGAACACTGGTTCTCACACTACGTCGTTCAGAGGGCAGCCTCTGAACAAACTCCCAAATTATAAGCCCGAGTCCAGGGGCCAGAGCAGAGATCAAACAGGGCTGTGCTTTTCAAAGAGCCACCTCAGAGGCAGCACACACAAGCCGATTGTTATTATCTGGAGGAGACAGAAAAGTCAGACCAAGGGAACACCAGCCATATTACAGGGTGACTCAGGGACCATCCAGCAATTTCCAACAGTCCCACCCGGGAACTAATTGGCACATGGAGCAGGGAGTGACCTCTGATCCTTCTAGACAGTCGTGCATGTGGCAGGTTTGCTGAAGAGCATCAGTGCAACCAGACAACTCAGATCGCCCGAGGCCAGGTTTAACAGCATGGTTTGGGAAAAAGCTCAAAGAAGTCTTGCATTTGAACTTGAAGAAGCCCCGTCCTGCTCCCTGCAAACCTGCTGAGTGAAGCAACTCGGGCCTCCTCCTCTCCCCGCTTCTCCCCTCTTCCTCCTCCCCCTCCTCCTCCCCTCTCCCCCTTCCTTCTCCTTCTCCTCTGTGGAGAGAACACCCCCAGCATGCAACCAAACACAGTAGCAAGTGCAGGGCGTGTTGCCCAGGCCATGCCCAAAGGGCCTAGGCATGCCAGGTGGGCTCATTGGCAGGTCCCTACGGCTCTCGAGGAGGCCCACAGGAGCAGCTCCTCCCCACCCCCAGGCCACTCACCAGACACAGACACCTCCATGAGTGCCTCCAGCGGCCGGTTGTTGTCCAGATCCCGGCTGAGCTGCAGCTCACCAGTGGCAGGATCCAGCAGCAACAGGCTCAGCTCGTTGCCCTGCAGAAAGGTGTAGTTGAGGCTGTCGGACAGGTCAGGGTCACGGGCTGGGATGCGGCCAATCACACCACTGGGGAAGCTGTTGGACTTATTGGTGACATAGTTGTTGAAGAGGATCTGGAAGTCTGGCAGCTCTGGTGGGTTGTCATTCTGGTCCAGGAGTCGGATGTGCACTGTGGCCCGGCTCACCAGAGGAGCAGACGTGGCCTGCACCACCAACACATAGTCCCTCCTAACCTCAAAGTCCAGCTCGACCAGGGCACGCAGGTCTCCACTCAGCAGGTCCAACTGGAAGACCTCAGGCACATTGCCCTCCACGATCTGATACATGATCTGGGCATTGGGACCTTCGTCAGGGTCGTTGGCCTGAATCCTCGCCACCACTGACCCCACAGGGCTGTTCTCCTGTACAAAGAGCTCGAGTTCATCCCTCTCAAACACAGGGGGGTTGTCATTAATGTCCAAGACGGTCACCTGGATTTCCACTGAGGCAGTAAGGGGAGCTGGGTTGCCCCGATCCACAGCCAGAGCCCGAAGGTTGTACACAGCCACATTTTCTCGGTCCAGCCGGCGCTGGGTGCGGATCACACCAGAGGTGGGCTCAATATAGAAGTCCCCATCACCATCATCCCCGCCCTGGAATGTATACTGAAGGCGGCCATTGGGGCCTGAGTCCCGGTCGGTGGCAGAGATCTGGAGGACACTGGTAGACGGAGGAGCATCCTCAAAGACAGAACCCTGGTAGAAATCCCGAAGGAACCTAGGCACATTGTCATTGGCATCTAAGATGAGGATCTCCAGAGAGGTGGTGTCGGACTTCTGAGGGATGCCATTGTCCTGAGCTGTGATGGCCAGTGTATAGGCAGCCTGGTCCTCATAGTCCAGCTCTGTCATGGTGTAGATGGTGCCTGTGTCCGGGTCAATGCGGAACTGTGGCACTGGGTCCTCTAGCACATAGGTGATGCGTGCGTTTTCCCCTGTATCTTCATCTGTGGCACTGATGGTGGCAATGGAGGTGCCTACAGGCCGGTCCTCACTGACGCTGACTGTGTAGTGGGAGCTCTGGAAGACTGGCCTGTGGGTGTTGGCATCGGTGACATTGATAAAGACCTGTGCAGTGTGTGAACGCGTACCATCTGACGCGGTCACAGCCAGCACATACTGCCTCTCCTGCTTGTAGTCCAGGGGCAGTGCCAGGGTGATGAGCCCACCACCACTCTGGCTGCTAAGTGCAAAGCGGTTCCGAGTGTTGCCGCCTGTCAGCTGGTAAGTGATCACACTGTTGGCATCACGGTCCCGGGCTCTCAGGGTCAGCACACTGCTCCCCACGGCTGCATCCTCATTCAACCGCAGCTCGTACACAGGCTGTGTGAACACTGGGTCATTATCGTTTACATCCAGCACTGTGATGGACACACTGGCCGAGGAGCTCATGGGTGGTGAGCCGTGGTCCACAGCTTCCACCCCAAAGCTGTAGTGTTCCACCTCCTCCCGGTCCAACTCCCCACACACAGTAATCCATCCGGAGCTATTGTGAATCTGGAAGGGGAAGTCTGAAGCAGAGGAAGGATCCTCAGAGCCAGAACTGCTGCCCCCCAAGAGAGTTGAGGCTGTGTCCACCAGACGGTAGCGGAGTCGAGCATTCTCACCAGCATCTGCATCCACCGCCTGGATGTGTAGCACAGAGTGGCCCAGGGGCACATTCTCCAGCACCGCAGCCTGAAAGGGGCTGCTCACAAAGATGGGCGCGTTGTCATTCACATCTAACACCTGCACTGAGACCAGTCCTGAAGAATTAATGAGAGGCGGCCGACCCCCATCCTGGGCCTTGATGCGCAAGGTGTACTCCCGGATGGCCTCGAAGTCCAGGGGGTTGATGACATCCAAGCTCCCGCTAAGGGAGTGCAAGTAGAACTGCCCCTTCAGGTTCCCACTGACGATGCTGTAGTGTATAGCTGCGTTCTGGCCCTGGTCCCGGTCAGTGGCCTGAACTCGCAGCACAGCAGTGTTGACAGGCACATCTTCAGGGACTTGGACCACGTAGCGCTTCTCACTGAACTGAGGGTAATTGTCATTCTCGTCCTCCACCACGATGTGCACGGTGGCGGAGGCACTGAGTGGTCCTGGATTTCGGCCCTGGTCGTTTGCCTCCACCAGCAGCTGGTAGTCAGCTGCCTCCTCCCTGTCCACCACAGCTCGGGTGCGCACCACCCCGGAACGTGCATCTATCTCGAAGACCCCACCTGCACCCTCCAGCAGGCGGTAGCGCATATTGGCGTTGGAAGGCGCATCACCATCGGTGGCACGTATGGTCAGCACCTCATAGCCCACCTCCAGGTTCTCTCGCACGCGCTCCCGATACTCAGACTGCTCAAAAACAGGGCTGTGGTCGTTGGTGTCGCTGACTGTCACGGTGAGGTAGGTGGCAGCTGAGCGCCGCGGGGAGCCGTGGTCCACCGCACTGACCTTGAGTACGTGGGTATCCTTGGTCTCGCGGTCCAGAGCGCGAGCGGTGGTCACGGCGCCCGTGGCCGCATCGATGAGGAAGTACCCACTGGAGCGCTCATCGAACAGCGCCTCCATCTGGTAACTCAGGCGGCCCGCTTCGCCCTCGTCCGGGTCGTGCGCACGCAGCTCGATGACCGCGGTGCCCGCGGGCTCGTTCTCGGGCACCGACACCTGGTAGCTGGGCAATGGGAACTGCGGGCTGGTGCTGCTGCCCGCGCCCCTCCGGGACCGTCTCGCCACCTTCGTCCGGGCCTGGGGCAGCGGCGGCGACACCGCGGGCGTCCCGGGGGTGGCCTCCAGCTCCAGCTCCAGCTCCACCCAGATGGCGTCGGCCCCACGCCGCAGGGCGCACAGCAGGCGCAGCCCGGCCGGCGGGCAGCTGCGTCCGCGCCGGCACCACCGGGGCGCGAGGTGCAGCGGGCAGCTGCAGAAGGGCAAGGTGGTGAAGACCGTGCCGCCGCCCGGGGCCGGGAAGCAGAACGCCTCGCCGAGCCCGGGCACCGAGAGGACGGCGGGAGAGCGCGGCTCCGCGCCCCGGGTTAATCGGCGCCGCAGCCGGGCCCGACAGCGGGCAGCGTAGATGCGCGCCCTCGGTGCCCGGCTGAGCGCCGTCGGGGCACCGCCGGCGGCCACGCGGACCTGCAGTGGCAGCGGCCGCCCCGCCAGGCGCGCACAGCCCCGGATCCCCGCTCCCGGCCCTCCGGGGCGGCTCACGTCCAGCAACTCCCTGGGCGCGCGCGTGGTGTCCGACCTGAAGGTCCAGCCCGGCCCAAGGGCAAAGGCGCGCGCTCCTCCCGGCACCCGCATCTCCCAGGCGGCCGCCTGCAGCCCCAGAGCCGGCAAGGCGGCGGCAGCGGCCAGGAACACCAGCGCGGGCAGCACGGGCGGCGGGGACGGCGCCATGGGCCGGACACGTCCAGCAACTCCCTGGGCGCGCGCGTGGTGTCCGACCTGAAGGTCCAGCCCGGCCCAAGGGCAAAGGCGCGCGCTCCTCCCGGCACCCGCATCTCCCAGGCGGCCGCCTGCAGCCCCAGAGCCGGCAAGGCGGCGGCAGCGGCCAGGAACACCAGCGCGGGCAGCACGGGCGGCGGGGACGGCGCCATGGGCCGGAGCCGGAGCCCGAGCCCGGCGCCCGAGCACAATCCATGCACCCGACGCACCTC